CTATAAGTATAATACTATTTTTAATAGTTTATTTTATAATAAACTTTTTATATTTTTTTTAATTATTTTAGTTAAAAAGTTATTAATTTTTTTTATATTTATTTATATTTTTTAAAATTAATAAAAAATAAATAATTTATGGATAAAATTTAATTTATTAAGATTCTGCATAAAAATTAAAATTAAAATAATAAAATTAATATTATTTAAATATATTTATTTATATATATATATATAATAATATATATAAAAAGTATAAATTATATTAAATTTTTCCATCTTTTCCATATAATATATAGTTATAAAAATTGTTATATATATTTTTTTATTAGTTTATTTTTAAATTTATATTAGTAATGATTCTAGAATAATATGTATTGTTAGATATTTATACTTATATTTTTTTTATAATATCAATATATTATAGTTATAATTTTATAATGTTAATAATATTTTTTTACTCTACATAAAATTTATTTTATAATAATAAAAAAAAAAAAAAAAAAAAAAAATTTTTATTAAATTATTTATTTAATAAATAATATCATTATTTAGAAAAATAAATTTAAAAAAACATTTTTTTTTTAATTAAATTAATAAAAATTATAATTATTTATAAAAAAAAAATGATTATATATTTAAAATAAAATTATAAATAAAAATAAAAGTAATTAATGTATTTTTTTACAATATTATTAATATATACGATATTTTATTATATATTAAATAAATTAAAAAAAAAAATTAAAAATAGAAATAATGTCAGAATTAAATGAATTTATAAATATTATGTATAATGTTTAAATAAAATTAATAAAAATATTAAAAAAAAAATGATAAATTAAAATATTAATTATATTAAAAATAATTAATATTTTTATTTAAATTAAATCGTGAAATAAATAAAATAATATAATATAAAAATAAATATATATGAAAAAATATATTAAGATTATAATATCTATTTTATTTAATAAAAAAAAATTAAAAATAAATAAAAATAAATAAAAATATATATATATAAATATATAAATATTTATATATTTATATATTTATATATTTATACATAAAAAAAACATTTAGTTTTTAATAAATAAAATATTTTTAGATAAATAATTTAATTATACAATAATATATATATATTCTATTTATTTTCTATTTATTTATAACATTAATATAAAATTATTTTTTATTTTTCTTTAATATTAATTACAATTAATATTGTTTTATTTTTTAATTTTATATATATATTTTTTGTTATGAATTTTATTTTATATTTTTTATAGTGTCTATAATTTATTCAAATATTTATCTTTTTTTATATAATAGCAATATCTTATATAATATAATAAATTTTTAATTATACATAATTAATTTTTTTTTTTTTTATATATATAAAATATAATATTTATTTCTTTAATTTATTATTTATTATAAAAAATTAAAATAAATGGGAAAAAACAAAATCGTAGAAAAAATAATCTTTTATAGACTAACATTGATTATCTAGATTTAATTTAAAGTGAGTTATAAATATTAAAATTTGAAACGGAAATAAAACTTTAAGACTAACAAATAAGAAAAGATTTAAATCTATTATAAGTTAATTACTAATTAAAGAAAATATAGCGTATATATTATAATGATGATTATGATACTGGAGATTAATAAATATCGTATGAAGAATAAAATGGAGATAAAATTGTTAATTAATAATCTTAAAAGGAACTTTAATTGAATAAAATTAAATAATAATTATAATTAATAAATAATTAAATTTCTTAAGTATAAGAAGATCTGAAATTAAAAGATGGAGATAAGTAGTTGCAACTATAATAATTAACTACTTATGCTGATAAATACAGTCAATTATCATTCAAATCTGATTATTAACAAACATACGTACTTTAAAAAAATAAAAGCGATAGTGTAAACTATTCATATAGATATATTTAAAACTATGAATAAAATATTAATAATTGTATATACATTAGTATAAACAATAATTTTAATCAAGGTTCTATTTTAAAATAAATTACAGAAACGAAAGATAAATCTATTAATAATTTTGATTTATATATATCAAATTATGGCTTAAGTGACGTTACTTATTATATTTACATGGATTTAGCATCTACAATTAAAATGTATGATTATCATGTTAAGAATATTAATATTAATACTAATTTTTTAAACAATATTTAATTGCTTTGCACTATTAAAACACTTTTAAGTTTTAAATCTTTCAATATGTTAAAATTAAATTAAGATAATAATGAAGAAAACCTTAAGATAAATATTTTAAATGCCGAAAAATTAATATAGATGATTTATGATATTATTTTTAATGAGAAAGCTTTGTAAGTTTTAAAATTAGGTTTTAATCCTATATTTTTATAATATATTATTGAATCTATAAGAAAAGTATAAAATAAAAATGATCATTAACTTTTTAATTTTGAAATGACTAGAAGCTTATAATTGAATAATGAGAATGAAGTTTCTGATCTTTTATTTTAATTGAATTAATATCCTTAAATAAAAATAATAAAATTAGAGGATATAAAATTTACTTAAAATAAATTAATAGATAATTTAAATAATTTGCTTAAAAAATTATATATTATTGATTTATAAATATGTAAGTATGAGTAAAATTTAAATAAAGATTTTAATTTCGAAAATTTAAAAGAGATAAATTTATAATTCAACTGTAGTATTTAAATATAATAAGTTGAATAAATATTTAAGAATTTAAATAAAGCTTAAAATGTGGAGATAATATGTCTTACTTTAAATGATAAAGTAGAAAATAGTAATAATAATAATAATAATAATAATAATAATAATAATGATAACGATAACGATAACGTTAATTATAAATATCTTAATCATTTATCTTAATTGTAAAATCTTAGAATCGTTTCTTTTACCATTTAAAAAGCTAATTAGTAAATATTTGATTCTGCATTGAGTTTTATTTAGCATTCCATATCTATATAAAGCTTTAAATTTGTAAGTAATGCTTGTAAACATAATTAACAGGAAAATATTAATATTAATAATTTGTATTAAATTATTGATAATAAAAGTAGTTTAAATGATTTCAAGTTTAAATATAGTCATTTATTTTATTT